TGTGGGATATTTAGGTATTGAAACAAGAGTTTGTGGGGGGTTTCTTCCTCTTTTGCTTCTCTTTCTTCCATGTGAATTCCATCTCATTTCATGTTTATTTTCTCTTTTATCCTTAATTTCACCTCTCAAAATCAAATTAATGGTAATTTTTTTAAATTATTAATTAACATATATTTTAAATTACATGACGAAAATAATGTAACCGATTTAATCACATGAATACATATATTTTTATAAAATATCTATGATTAAAAAAAAATTATAAAAAACTTGAAACTACCACTTGGATCTGAAACCTACATGCTGATATTCTTTGTAATTTTATGAAATTATAAATTTATTATCTTAATATACAATATATTATTTTACTGAGATTGGTTAATTTTCTCAACTTGACCAGGTTACAACTTTAGAGAAAATAGTATTTATTGAAATTATTAATTTATCAAGTATTAATTTTTATATAAATTAAAAATGTTTTAACTTAATTTTTTCGTAATAACCTATAAATCATGAGTTTAGATCCCATTATCTACATGTGAAATATGAGATAATCAACCACAAGGGTGGTGTTTGATTGGTTTGAGTTTGGTTCCAAAAGTCAAAATTATCATGAGGTCTCAGATTCAAATCCAAGAAGGAACAAAAATCCCCTTGTGGCCACGAAGGTTCAAATGTGATGAATCCAGGATATCTGCAAAGCAGGTGGTCGTTCTGGAATTTATCGACTTGCATAGCGGGTTGAATATCCAGGTTAATAAAAAAATATATGAGAAAATCAACATGCTACAAAATTTTCATCCTTTTGAATATCGTTTTCGGAATATATTTTTTTTACATATTTCTTTTCTTAAAACCCATAAAATATTATCGTTTATGCCCACATAATATTTTTCATATTCATAAAAATATATTTATAAGTAAATGGATTATATTTCTGAGATTGTGTTTCTATCAGCATTTATTAAAAAAGATGTGTTAACATTCGTTTTCTTTATTAAGATGCCTCTTTTTAAAAAATATGTGACTAATGGTTATACACGTTTACGAAATCATGTACTGATTTCAACGATGATTTTGTGATTTTCGCTACTGCAAACCGAAAATTATATATGTATATACATATATATATATGTTTGTGTGTGTATGTTTGTATATTAAACGTCACTAAAGAAAACAAATAAAGTTTGCTACGAGTCCTCATTTCTAGATTTTATTTTTTTGACATAGACACGCATGTAAGGTGGGTTGTGTCTTTTTCCTCTTCCTATTCCCCCTCCACTGGACGTCTTTTTCAGACTTTCATGTTTCTTTTACTACATGTTATATGTATAGCAACTCCTTTTTCTTTCTGTTTTGATGAAAATTTTCATCTCAAACAAGTAATCGATACTTTTGCCCGTTGGGGTAGATCACCCAAAGGTTAAGAATCGTGTCGCTTGGATTAAAACGGAATTAAGTATGATTCAATGAGAGAATTGAGTTTGATACTTTTTCTATAACAGAGTTTTTGATGTCACATGTAACAAGAAAGCAGCCACTTATAAGTCCTAGAAACGCGATGAATTGCGCACCTCGGGGAAGAAAGAAGAAATCTTTTTAAATAGGGAAAAGAGACCGACACAGTATGAGAATGTAACAAGCGTATAATGTACATTTAGGAAAACCCATGTTGACATGACCTGGTATAATACTGGTCGTCCCTGTGACTTTAGTCTAAGAGGTAAGGAGGTGGATATTTTTGCAATTTGAGTGTGAGGTATCATCAAGTTCGACTCTAGACATCATTCACCTGCCCACGGGACTTGCAATTTATCTCTGCCCATGATGGTTATGCAAAATGGTCTATAAGGGTTGGAAAACGCTGTTAACAATAATTGTACAGATTTTATTAATTAACAATAACTTTTACCATGTCAGGTGAAAATATATTTTTAGATTGTGATTGTAAACTATCTTAAATATGTTCATAGAATTTGATCAACATTGTTGAAATTGTGATACGATTATACATTTTAGGTGATTTTTACATCCAGATTACATATCTAAAAAAATAATATGGAGAATTCTTTGCAAAACCAGATAATATACTTTTTTGTCTTCTTCAAGATTTATACATTATAATTTAAAATAACTGTTTGCAAGGTTTTGGAGCTATACTCATTTGGTTTTTTATAAAAATAAGGCTTGATTTAACACTGGTAATAAAATATGTATTTGCTAATTAAATGAACTTGTCTATCATAATGAAGATGTTGAAGTCTGAAGCCTTATTTCATTTCTTATTGATAAGAGCTGATATTAGAAGTCAAACAAAATCAATAAAAATTATTTTTTGTAAACTGATGAATGTTTGGATATGTTATTAGAATCAAAGTTTAATAATATTAACTATTTAAAAAAGGAATAAGAAACTACCGATTAATTAATTAATTTACCCCTCTAGATTCGAGCTCGATTTCTCGCTTGTTTGTTGGTGGTTCTTCAATCAGATTGTTGGCGACAAAGCCCAATACAATATATTTCTGGTGAAAGATATGGTAGATTTTGGGAAATTACTATTGTCAACGATGAGAGGGAAAGCAAGAGAAGGGTTTACATATTGTCATTTACGGTTACATATTTTTGTTTTTGTTTTAGAGAAATAAAGAGGATGATAAAAGACTAATAAGACATCGATTTACCTCTTATCCAATAAGAAAACGGTAAAAGATTTTAAGCTTTTATCAGGAAAAAAAAACAATCTCATAAACCTATGAGCTTATTAACGATTATATATCTAAACAAGTTTTATTCAATTTTCACCTAAAAAAGTTGTGGAACCGAAAAAACTCATCTTTATCTTCGATATGGTAATAGTCATAGAGTTGAGTTTCGATGAAAAAAGAAGTTATGGTGAGAAAGGATTTCTTTGGATCAATCCTAAATGAAAATCAACACTAATAAAATGCACCAGACCAGTTCTTGTACCAAGCGCAATTCATAGGGTGGAGTGAGATTAGAAGTGATCAAGGGTCCGGATTCTCTATTACGCTTCTCACTAAACTCATATTCTCACACGATCTTTAATAATTCATATATATATATATATATAGTTCTATATTACACTATAAAACATTTGATAAAAAAATCAATTTTTTTAAATTAAATATTAGATTATGCTTAATAATAAATAATTTCTTACCACTCAAGTTTTCAATTTATTATTACATATATATAACGTTTTAATTTAATGCAACTAATACATAAACACGTTCAAGTATAAGTTAAGTCTTAAACTTGTATAATACAACAATATACTATGTAAATTTAAGATTTTATACTTTGAATAAAAAATTACATTAATTTATCATTCTCGATTTAAAATATAATTTTATATCCGTTATATTGCACAAATATATATACACCTACGGTTTAGTCCAAACGAGAACAATGTCAAAATAAAATAACACGAGAAAACTTATAACACATGTGCTTTTAGACTAAAAGTCATGTGATTAGGATCGGTCAACGTTCTTAACATCGCCAGGCCAAGTATTCATAACCCCTACCCCATATGTATTGGCCGAAGTTGAATTACATGTGGTTTTTAGTTTAAAAATCACCTATGAATGTGTGATAACATTTTATGTTCTTTCACTTTGACCATGTTCTCGTTTGAATCTCCTCTCTCTTGCTTGCTATATATAACCTTCTTCTGAGAATCTAAGAATTAATGCATCATGTGTTTTTATATGATTTTTTTCATCTACGGCTAGAATTTAACCTAATTATTAACATTAATCTGTTTCACAACAATGCATCATATGTACTTGGTTCAGAATGTAAACATTTTTGGTGTGTTAGTGAAAAAAAAAGTACATAATCGGATACATATGAATAAAACACGATATAAAACAAATATATGTTAATTAATACATCAAATACTATATTTAGATGGAAAAAAATCATGTAAAATAAAACCTGAGAGTTTTAATGGATCTGATAAACATATATAATACCATTTATTAAGAATAAAAATAGAAGTTAGCATAAATGTTATATTTTTTTCTAAAAGAAAGCCCAACTACAAAGTTTGGCAACTTTTTGGTTATGGTGGATGGTGGAATAAATAAGAGAAAGGGTTAAAAAGGGGGGTTGAAGGGTACCAAACACACACTGCCAAACCTGGTAAGACCAATTGCATGAGTTCAAGAAGGTTGGGGTTAGGTAGATAATGGATGGATGGATGGATGAAAGAAAGAAAGGAAAGAAGTTGGCTGACCCTCTTCAATTATTTCCACATGCCACGCACTGCCAAAAACCTAATCATTCCCCTCTCTTTCCCATATCCATCTTCCTCACTTTATCCTCCATAATAATACACATCTACTATCTCTCCACCACTTGTACCCTATACATCAACACTTGTACATTCTTCTTCATTAATAACCTCTATTATTTATTTTATTATAGTTTTTTTTTAAATAAGAATCAAAACAAAGTCGTTACACTGGATTTGTTAATCTCAGTGCGACGTTGATTAGTACCAAATGGGTTAAAAGCCACATGCTACAGCTATATTAAATCACAAGGGTGGTGTCTGATTGGTTTGAGCTTGTCTCCAAAGATCAAAAGTACCAGGAGGTCCTAGGTTCAAATCCAAGGAGGAATAAAAATCCCCTTGTGGCCACGGAGGTTCAAATGTTGTGACTCCGGGCTATCTGCAAAGCAGGTGGTCACCATGGGATTAATCGTCTCGCATAACGGGTTGGATATCCAAGTTAATCATATATATATATATATATATATATATATATATATACACACTAAACAAATGAATTAAACTATTTTAAGTAAATGTTACTCAACTTCAAATGAATTAAACCAATAAAAAACAGAAAACTTGAAGTGGAATAAAGTTTAATAAAATAAAGCAAAATAGCATGTGATCAGATCTATAACTTGATTATTTTAATTAATCCAACACCAAGGAATTTAAGTTTGTACATTCTGGTTGTGGTTGCAAACATTATTATGTTGTGGAGGGTTCCATTATTATTTAGGGGTATTAATTTATCAAACTGAAAGTCAAATTATCTTGAATTATAATGATAACAATGGTATTATGTTTATGCGCAAATCCTTCTAATACATCTAGAGTTCAGGGAAATAATATGCTATAGCAACTTGTATCCCATGCATTTAAAAGTTGTACCTTGATGGTTTTTAGCTTTAGCTCACTTCATCTTTTTGCGGGCTTCGTAAACGTAACTGATGATCACCACGGCAGCAGCAACGACAACCCCGACGGCGCTTTGAGCCAATATGACGCCGTCTTTTACTTTCGGCTTTGCGGAACCCGAGATGAATCCTAATTCAGAGAGTTTCTTGTGTGATGTTGCATAATCATTAAAGAATGCATCTTCATCCTGAATAATTAATGGTCAATAATTTAGCATAACATGGGAGGGACGTAAAACTAGAGCAAGATATTAATATGATAATAAAAACAATGCCTACCAAATGAAAATTTATATATCTTACAATTGATGTACAACATTAATCACACCATATAATAACATAAATTTCGAAAAAGATGTGTCAACCAATCAAATAGAAGAGGGGAATAGGTGGGTCTTGATGTCTATATCTAATATGTGTGTGTATATTATATATATATATATATATATATCAATTTTCCAACCTCCACAAATGTTGTTGGGGTCTTTATCGTAAACCAATCTAACCCAGTATATCTTACTTAAAGTTATGGTATGTGCTGAGACTTTATTATACAGTCCACAAATCTTGAACATACCAAACCAAACTAGTCTCTTATATTCTACTCAGAAGTGGGGTCTTCTGTTAGGAATATATTATGTGGTTCGGTAATTCTATTGAAATAATAAATGAAGAAAATCACATAGTAAAATTATAAGATAGAAAAACCATCATATGTGACAATTTCTTGCGAAATTCAGGATGGGTTTATCGACTTGAATCAGGCTTCATATCCAACAAAATACTTTCTCCTACCAAATAAACCAATGTAATAGGAACCCACAGTTTATATCAATCAAAAAGCAAAAGATTCATACCATCAACCCAAATTGAAGACAAATTTGACATGGAAAAGTCAAATGATGTATTTAAAACTGACATTTAAGAAAACTTAGAATTACATGAAGGCATAATGCTTATAAACTTTAAATCAGAAAAATAAATAATGAGTAATGAGGGCATATTGGGTAGGTGTTGAAACAAGCAAATGGTCATCACTAGCAATTCAGAAAGTGGATTAAAATTTTGTACCGTACAACTACTAGTTTCAGATAGAATCTAAGCCATGTTCCATCCAGGAGGATTTTGGTTTCACATGGCTATCCTTGTACCTGTATAAGAACACAACCTCTGTGCAAGGTTGTTGGCAATAGGTAAGACTCACTATTATTCTAAACTTCATAGGCAGGAGAGGAGGGGACAATAGATTTAACAATGGGAGCAGACCAGTAGTCAGAGTCCAGAGAGGGTCCCAACTGTCAAAACTAATAATCTAGGCGGTCAAGCTCAAAACCAATCACACAAATGTCTTTGGCTTTAATGTTTGTTTGTTTATATGTTCCCACTTTATTTTCTAAGGTTAGGTTTGTACCCCATGATAGGACGTGTTTAGCAAGGTGAGGGGTGGGGTGGGATGGAGGTGGGGGAGCTGGTTACAACCATAGTGCTCCATAAAGTAATTGATGTCCAGTTATAGTCCAATAATGAGGAATGCAACATAAGTTTCTGGTTGTAATTACATATTTGCCATTACTATCACAACTTACTAATACCCTTAAATTTTGGTCCACAAGACTTCCCTTATTTGTGATTGTTGAAGGGAGTTGTAAAAATTTCACATTATTCTACAAGTATCAATCTTCTTGTTCAAAGTTAGTAATTACATTTTCGTGAAGCATGTTTATATTTATAACCACGTAAAAACTAAAAACAGATAAATAGCTGAACTTCTAATGGTTTCTCTCCTTTATCTACCTTACCAATGCTTGAGCATAAAATATAGTCCGTTAGTCCTACAAGAAGCGTCCCTTTTTCCTTTTTTGGGAAATTCTCAAGAAAAAGCAACTGTCCTAAACAAAGATGGATGGTGTCTTGCAAGTTATCTAGCTATTCCCATGTAATGTAACAAACATTTAGTTGGGGCATAATCCTCTTAGCAACAGACTGGATGACATGGTTGAGTTTAAAAGCTAACAGGATCCAGTAATATTAGTCTGATTAGTGGCAAGGAGGTGGTTATGAATCTCATTACTGCATATATCACTTAACTAGACTTGAGTGAATGTATTAGAAGAATTTTTGGAGCTAGAAATGGTTTGGAAATAACATTATTTATTAGCGATACTTTTATAGAAGTTAATGGTCATACAGTCACAAGTATCGAGAAAAAAATCTTAAAAGTTTGCAGGGGTTTATGCTTTGATGCTTGTTTTCTTTAGGAAGCATGACGCACCTTGTAACCTTCAATAGTAACTGGAACTCTAGCCATAAATCAGGAGGTACAAAAGGCTATTGGAGAAAAGAAGGGGAATATAAACTCTTGCATCGTTGTAAGAGTGCAGAGAACATAATCACATAGAAATTAGCCAAAAGCAAAGCTAAGAAAGAGTAATAGAAGCTAGAGGTAAATCATATCAAGAATTGTAATGCCTTAACCTATGCTCCATGACCTGCTTCCATAATTTCATCGTATGACTAAGCTTAACCCCTTTGTAATTCATACATCCCTTTAAGGAACTCCTCTATTCACATAGCACCCTCTTCATTAATACCCTAGCGGACCACTTATGATTACCTTCCCAAGGGCTCCCCAAACCATTAAGAATTGGGGAGTTAAAGCTTTTCTTCATCTTTGTTAGTTCTTTCTTCACATCTAAACAGTCTTATTCATTACATAGACTTTCAGTAGTATCATCAAACGAGTCACCCCAACAATATTATTATTGAACAAGTAATCATAACCTCCTCATTATTCTTCATCCTTGTCATCAAGTTATTGGCTTTCCTCTTTGATGCATTTGATGTAAGTTTGATCTTTTAGTTTTTCCTTCCCTCGTATTAGCCAAATTGTAAACATCATTGCCCTTTCTAAATTCTGGTTTCTTCACAGAGAGATACGAGGCAAAACATTTACATATGGTGTCCAAAAATTTAGAAAGCATACGATACAATCTCAATGAGAATGATGTGGCAGGCTCTTGAGATAAGCAAGTCCCTAGTCACTACGATGTATGTGAATATGATTAAGGAAATATCTGCTGTCGACAACAAGAGAGATTGTTCCCCTGTTGCCCAAAAGTTGGGACCAGAGATCAGTGTTAAGTCATTATCGTTTTGCTGTAGTTATGGATCAGCTCATGATGGGCATACAAGATGATATTCCATGGTTTATGATTTTCATGGATCATATTGTCTAATTGGTAATACTAGGGTACATATTAATGAAAATTTGAATGGTTGAAGGAACTTTTGCTATCTTGATGGTTTTAGACTAACACAGATTAAATTACAACTTTAGAGGTGTAGATATTTGATAGTGTAGCAGAATAGATGATGAGGATGTTAGTCATAGGATAGAGGGTGGATGATGGCTAGAAGCTTTAGGAGTTCCATGAGACCAGAAAGTTCAACTAAAGCTGAAAGGTACATTCTATAGGATGAAGGTAAGACTTTTATGATCTACAATTTAAAATTTTAGCCACCAAAAGACGAACATGTAACAAGAGGAATCTAGCATGAATGTGAAAACTGAGAAGTGAGATGGCTTTGTGGTCATATCATATAGTTACGATTAGAAACAATATAACAGAGAAGCTTGGGATGAGGTAAGACTTGATTATGATTCAAAATGTTGAGCCACCAAAAGGCACATGTAACAAGAGGAATCTAGCATAAATGTGAACACTGACGTAGCTATGTGGCCATGTGTGTGTGTATAGATATATGTGTGTGTGTAGAGTGAGGTTCTGGGAAAAACCCCCAAAAAAGTGAAAACTAAGGAACACCCTAGAAACCATTCATCTATACAGTATGCACGAGTGTATACAAGTAATCTGTAAGTAATTTCCATGATATGCACATGTGTATAACATGCACACGTGCATAGAAACTAGAAAACCATCTTCAATTACTTGTATGCACATGTGCATATGTACAGATGAATGGTTACTAGAGTGCTTATCGGTTTTTCATTTTTTTGCGGTTTTCCCCTGAACCTGATCCTATATATATATATATATATATATATATATATATATATATATATAATCAATTAGAAATGATAGAAGGAAGAAGCTTGGGGTGGCACCCATTAAAGTCGAGTCAACATCGGTTCAGAAGAAGCTGAGGAAACACCACACTAGATGTTTTTAAACATATCAAACAAGGGCATTTGGATGCATCAATTAGAGAGGAGGTCTGTATGAAGAGTGAGGTCATACTGAAAGAAAAGGTCAATCCAGTTTAACATGGGAGAAGTAGAAAACATAGATTTGATATATGTATACTATATAGTTGGCCTCAAATAGGACCACATAGATGGATGAAATATATCCAGATCCTAGGGGGTTTACCTTCTTTCAGTTTCTATCAGGTTTAGTCTAGCCTAACAATGCAGGATAAAAGGCCTGTGATTTTCTTAAATGAAGGGCTATTGCTTTCCTACCCTTGCTTACCTTTATTTTGGAAGTACTATTCTTGGTAGGATCCATATGTCCCTACTAACCAATTAACCATATAGATGATAAAAACTTTTTTGCCTTCACCTACCTCTTGTTCCCAACACTACAAAGGGAAAACTGGAACAGAAGAAACAAATGGGGCTGTTTTAATTATAATGTCGAGTCAAAAGGGAACAATTAACTTTGGGTGGAGCGATTGGGTGGAGCGATTATCTATTAAGGCTTGTCAAAGCTGAATTTTACCTCCACAAATCAAAGAATGCCACCTTTCTAATTGGTACACACTCCATTCCATAAAAAACGGAATACCTTTTTCAATTTTGGGGTATCCTGCTAAATTGCAGATTTCAAGTTATGTTATCCATATACTCATTGCCATCAATACCAATATATTTGACGCCATTGCCTCTGGCCTGCAAGACATCCCGAATTGGTTGTTTTTGTTGGAGGACTTAAATATGTGACTAGAAGTCAAGCAACTTCATGAAACTATGTATCCAGTTGAGCGTTGCTTTTTTTGATGGGACAGAGGAAGTACTAAAAACTTTACTCCCTCCATCCCAAAATAAGTGTCCACATTTCTATTTTAGTTTGTCCCAAAAAAAAGTATTCACTTTCAAAATTAAGGATATAGTTTCCATTTAGTTAATAAAAAGATAAAATAATTACACAATTCTAAAACTATGTACCTTTTTTATCATAGACATTATTTTGGGATGGAGGGAGTATTGTTATTTTAGTACAAATATAGGACCAAGAACGCTTTAGCAGGATAAGTATGAGTTCTAGCTTTCATATCACTTTCTTTTGGTGGGCACCTCAGTCGTTGAAATAAAATATTAGAAGTTTCCTCCCTAAAGATTAAATTTAGTTGGCATCACATTTGGTTATATAACACAGTATACCTTGGCATACAGCTCAACATATTGGCGGAATGCTGGATCATCCAGCAATGCTATATCCGTAGGAAGTTTCAACAGCCCCTCTGATTCCCCTTTCAGAAGCTCCCTGGTTCAACAATATTAGTGCCAATTTAATTAAAAAAGAAAATAAAAAAGCCCATATTAGTTTACTTAAACAAGACAAAAGGAAAACGAAGCTTCAGTAAGTTTTACACAAAATATGAGTTATCGAATTTCAGCGGCTCTCTAGTCCAAGGACCATCAAAGCCTGATCTATCTGCATGTGCTTTTCCCTGTAGCATAAGAAATTACAGCAAGAACAAGCAAAATGATTAACATGAGTAGCAAAGATGCTGACATGTTTCGAGATGATGACTTGAGATTGAAACACAAGCTTTGGGATAGATTGCTGCAAGAAAAAACAAGTATTTCGAAGGTATTAATCTAACAGTAATTAGCAACTTACCAGAGTGTGTCCTCCTGAAAGGGCTACAATATCCTTGTCAGATAAACCCATGCGATAAAATATGTCCCTCAAGTGTGGTGCACCTACAATTAGCAGAAGACATCAATAATAGAATGTAACTGATCTTTACATCAGTATATGGCTGAGTGGATTAAGAGTAACGTCTGAAGATAGTACCAAACAAGAACACAAATTGCCTAAAGATATGCACCCCTCTCCTCCTTTGTTCCACAATTAGAGCTATACTCTGGCTTCAAAAATCAGACCAGTCATTCTCAAAGTTAAAATTTGTGGACACTTAATTTTCTGAAAACCTTTGATGCTTTGACAAACCAAACTGAGCTTTGTAACAAGTAATACTTAATGAAAATGATTGGTGGTAAGTGGCCAATACAATTTATATCAGTTCCGGATATGACAAGGACTAGGTTTGACATCAAAAGGTTCAAGTGTTGATTGTTTCTTATCTTTCTTTGAAAAGGAACTTTTATAAATTAGAAAAAAGGAACAGAGTGATGTAACTATTGTTGAATAATGGAATGACTATTATAAAAGAGTCCATACTTCAAAACATTTTAAGAGTTCACAAAGTAAGAATTAGTATATCTAGAATGAAGCCAGAGCCTGTAACATGATGGTCAAACACAAACTTGGGCACTCAGGCCTCAGCTGGTACTTCAAGATTTCAGAATCAGAGGAAAACTACTTTTTATTGGCTGTGTTAGTAACAAGCATTTAACCCAGGTCCTCATATACTCTACTTCAGCCTACTTCCTCATCACACACTTAAATGGAGAATCCTTGAAATAAAATGCCCCCAATTTCAACTCATTGAATGATATCAGAACAGGGTGAAGTAGGATCTTTTATACGACAAACCATGTCAGACAGCAAGGTATAGTGTATTCCAGTTGGACCATCTTATGTCACATACAAATTATAGATGATGTGTCTGTATGTGATAACTTTTATGGATGCTTGACTAAAATTCTCGCAACTCTAAATAGCATGTAGCCCATGCCATGGAAACCTCCAGCAAAGATTGTCTATCATTTTACTATATATTAATGTTTGAGGCATGATTGCTATTCCCTCCATCCCAAAAGAATTGCAACATTTAGTCTTACATGTAAATTGATCAGAAAATAGTTTATCATAGCAAATTGTCCAAAATACCATTGTTGCAACAAGAAGGGCTAATGGATAATTTATCCCATGAGAGGACATGTTGAAACTCTTGTGGGACATCCCAAAAGCAAAAATGTTCCATTCTTGAGGCATGGGAGTATTTGCCCATCTTAACTCCTAGCTGATGATGTGCAAAGGATTGGTGACAAGTCTGTTTTGGGATTTTAACTAGCTTATGGAACCATTCATAAATAGCTTTATCTATTACTAGAAAAGTAGTGTTCAAATACTATGTGGCTTGGTATCAAGTAATAGAAAAGTAGGAAAACATAATAAAAGTGATAAAGTAAAGAATCAGAAATTAGAATGCAACATATTGTAATTGATTTTAGCTCTACTATACCCCCCTCAAGTTGGACAAAGGGATAAGAAATCTAACTTGGAAACGTTGTCAGAGAACAGGGAATTGGGCAATGGCTTGCTGAGGATGTAAACCAAACATGAAGCACACAAATGAGACTTTTATGAACTTGATCACGAATAAAGTGAAAATCAATGACATTATTTTTCATGCAGCTGTGCAACACTTAACCTGGCGCAAGTTTGTAAAACCAATATTACCCTTCTCCCATGTTCACTACTTCTCCCATGTTGGTTGACAAAAAAGAGGCCGACGGAACTCATGAAGGATATTAGAAATCCAACTTGCTTTAGCAACTATGGCGGCTATACACATATAGTTGATGGTAGTTTTGGTTATTTAATGGTATGTAGTGCCATTCTAGTTGTATTTGGTTTTACGTAGTGCACTCCAGCTTGACCTTTGGGGCCTGTCCCATGAGGTTGAGGGGCTATGCATGTTGGTGGGAATCTCACCTTGGGTCGTAATTCTCTATTTCTTATTAATAAAATTTCGCCGAAGGTACCGTCCTACTTCCAAAAAACTACGGTAGTTATAGCTCTACACTCTGCTTCAGTACAGGACCTGGCCACGGATTTTTGTTTTCTAGAGGACCAACTAATAGGATTAAAGCCAAAATAGCCTAAATCAGTAGAGTCTGTAGCTCAATCAACATCAGCATAGACAGAGTATGATTTAAGTAGCATCAAAGAAGCGTGATAAGTATGCTTTAGATACCAAACGAGTTCTTCCATGGTAGCCTAATGATCATGCGAGGGATAATGGAAAAAATTCAGACAGTTTATTCATGGTAAAAATGATATCTAGTTGAGTGAAAGACAAGTAATGCAATTTGCCAATGGCCGATTGGCAAGTCTTAGCATTGGTGGGTGGTGAACTATCATTTGGTTGTGTTGGTTTTGACTAAACCATGGAAGCAGTGATGCCATTGTAGTTATGAATATTGAACTCCTGTGGCATGTCCATTAATAATTGGATTGGTTATGCACGATCCGGAAGATCATTAGCTGATAAATGAAAATTTTCTTATGGTCCAAGGTTTTGTGTTCTCTTGAAATTTGAATCCTTAAGCCGATTATCCAATTAATTCAGGAGTTGAACTACTAAATAGTTATAACAAGATTATCAACATTTTTAGCTTTAGGGGTTTTCACTTGATGAAAAACTAATGTGGGATTTGCCCTGCTCATTCATTCTTTGAAAATATCAGGATGGTTAAGTTTGTTACAGGAGTTCTTAAGTGAAACGCTGACCTCCCTTTACAAACATCATATTTCCACCACTATATGTGTCTTCATCCCATGTAAGCTTCTCAACTTTCAGTAATGAAAATGAGATTTTCAAAGTTGATTCAGGAAACATCTGGCAACTACCAAGAAGCTAATGAAAAAAGAAATTACTTCTTACATAATATAATGGTTGATATAAAAAATTAAGATCAAAAACCTTTGGTAGCATTCGGGAGTCTTCCTTCCTTCGGAGATATCTTCGAATCCTAGAAAAAAGATAGGACATGTCAAGAGAGGTAAATTGGCTGCAGGAATAACTCCCATTATAAGACATAGGACCACTCCTGCAGGAAATTAAAAAGAAGAAAGAAAAGAACGAAAAACTTGAAAAGAAAACAAACAAGTGATAAAATCAAGATACCTTTCTACCAGGAACAAAGTCAACAGTAGGCCCACCAGTAACCTCCACGGCAACAACGCCTGCAAGCTACAAACAGAAAACCTATATGGGTCAGTAGTCAGTTAACACTTCACATGTAAAGCATGTACTGTGTGTGCTTGTGTGTATGTTAGAATTCAAGTTAAGCCATTGTTAGGAATATAGTGCAACAAACACACTATAACACTGTGAACTTAATAACGTGATACCTTAATAGTAAGGAAGAAATGGACTAGTCTTTTGCAATCCATTTCTCCCTCCCTCTCTCTTTCTAGCCTCTCTATACTCCCTCAATCACCCAGCTACTGTTACTTGACCACTATTTAAGTAAGAAATGTTGGCATTTAAAACATTGGCAAGAACAAGGAATAAAACTTTAAAAAAAGGTAACCGCTACCCTGTTGTTGGACAACTTCAATCTGTTTTAAAATATGAACAAGTCTCATGGAGAAAGGTATGCACAGAGGGTGTTCAATTGGCATTTCTTTTGCAACAATTCGAGTCATTTTAATAGGTCAAGTCAAGTTACCACTTACCACAAACAATAATCTGGAATTTACACATCTTTATGAGCAATCTCAACCACAAGAAACCCTTTTTGTCTAAATTTATGAAAACGAACTTGGTATCATTGAAATCACCTGATATAGATCTGCATACGTAATCCTTGGATGTTTGGACTTTATTTCTTCTGCATTGTTAAAGTAATAAACAAAAGAATTGATCAAGTCAACATGTTTTCTCTTTGTAGAGGCAAACATTAAGTCTGGTATGAAGAATGATGCCAAAATTGAAAATAGAGCACAAGACTTTGCCTTTGGTCCAAAACTAATTGGGGTAGGCTGAAAACAAGAACATTGGAAATTATAAAAAAATTAACAATCTTAAAAGGGAATAAAAGAGGCTCATTGCCCCATACACAAATAGCAGAAAGGGATAACAGAGGATGTCTCTTTTCCACATGTCCAGGAAGCTCACTATACCAACATAACCTCTGAGCCAAAAGTACAGAAAAGCACTACTTAAAGAACAGAATGATTCGGGAAGAAGCACTACACCTAGGAATCAACAACACGAAAACTTTGTTATAAATTATCGAGTAGAACACCTGGTAGAGAGACCCAATCACGATCATACGATGATTCACTCCTTCAAAAGACCCAAAAAACTTATAATTATGTCACCCACAATGTGCAATTTCAAGATGACTTGGCAATACCCAATACCAATCCAAGTCGGCTTACAATCATCAAGCTAATGTTCTAGAAACTTTAAGTTCTTCATAGTAGACCAATATTCAATGGGCTCCCTCTTTGGCCCATAAAGAAAGTGGCACCTGGGGACGATTATTAATTTTACTGTTGGATCTTCCTATCATAAAATCTGAATTGGTGCATGTCTGAAATCACTTCAAGTTTGCAGCATGCGCTTATACAGTCTCAAGGAAAACCTTACAGCACCCATTCAAACACAGCTCTAGTTCGCAGCATGAGCAAATACAATCTCAAGGAAAACCTTACAGCACACATTCAAAGACACCTCTAGTCCAAATCCTAAACCTACTCAGCCTTCTTGCAATACTAAGAATGAGCCTGCAAGCTGGTGATTTGATGACTATAATATCTAGCAACAACAGAAATTTTAATTAATACAACCATGAACTACTAACATTTTATTAATAACCAAGAACTACTAAGAAAAAGAAGTGGACCAGCAACACAAAATAAATTGAAGAAATATAAATTTGGCATCATGAGGCCTAAGGAAACATTTTCATTTTTCTTAAAGCTCGTATTGATGTAGGCTCAATCAAAAACTCATGAATCATTATTTATTAGTAGCATGTAATCCAAGATGCACTATATGTGTGAGTTATACTAATTAACAGTCAGCAATCATTTAGCCCGATAACTAGTTGATAATCATGAAATTCAACAGTATAAGGTCACATCAATATAAGATCATTCAGAGTTATTAACATCAAACCTCAACAGTACAATACTCTAGCCCAAAGACAACTTTCATATACTGCCAATGCGATCAACTAGAAAAGATATAGTATTTACCAAAAAAATCAATATCAACTTTATTAATTCATGGAGTTAACAGAACTAGTCTACTTGACACACGAAAGCCTAAATTTGAAATTCTCCCGAGACGGATGGAGTAACAAACTTCTCCTAGCTTGATTTGATAAAAAGAAAGCTTCAAATAGCAAAAATATCATGGCTAAAATAGCAAACATATTGCCCAAATCCTGTTCCTCAAAATAAGACCATTCGAGTAATCAATTAAATTGAACTAATTCAAAGATACAAGTTCAGGATAGCACTAGAAACTTGAACTATAAGATAAACAATTTACCGCAAAAATCAATAGCAATCTTTAATCCGTTATTAGAGCCATGACTATACTCCTCCTCGGTCCTGATCGAACCATTAGGACCTCCGGTCTTCGTGTTCACATCGTATGTTCCAGCATCATGCCACCTAACAACATCATCATCAATCTCAATCCAATCATCGATAACTTGTATACAAATGTTTAAGAGAAAGAGGGATCATACGCTAATCGAAGCATGATTGGTGCACAATTCTTGTTGGAGATAAAAGCGCGAAGCTCTCGACGAGCTTTATCAATCTCTTTCAGGTATTCGGTATCTACAACAGGCATCGCCATAGATAACTTCCACACAGTGATGGTGAAACTGTGTGTTTTCGTGGGCTCTGAGGACTAGGGGAAGAGCAGGCCACTGGTCTGAAGATATAGATAGGCTAAAATCAGGAGCCAAGGAGAAGCTGGGTTCCTGTGTGGTCGACTTTGATTGGTTATTCGTGCATACGGCAATTTTGAACTTTCAAGATCAGAAGTCAAAGTCAACCTACGTGGACTGAAAGAATAGTATCCATCATCTACGGTCTATGTTGTTTCATGTTGAAAAAACTACCATAACAATTGTAATAGGGGTGGCTAATGGCACCCCTATCATGTGCTAATGCCACCCCTAAGTAGTCTTTAATCATTGTGTTTTATAATTTTTTGTGTTTTTTTGTTTTTTTGTGATTATTACTTTTTATTTTATTATTAATTAAAGAAAATTTTAATTAATATATATTATTTATTTTATTTTCTGTTTTATTTATTTATTTATATTACATTTTAATTAATATAAATTATTAATAAATATATATTATTCA